TGTGGCATATTTAGCGCTGGGCCCCAGTCCCAAGGCAGGAGGGAGAAATAGTTCATAGCAGTATAGGGAAAACTGATCAGACCTTCATCTTTTTTCATCCTCTCCCATTTTACGAGAACAAGGAATCTCTTGATAAAAATTAACAGCTGGTAAATTTACTACAAATAATAATAATAATAATAATGAAAATACTTCTTCAAAGAGCATGTAGTTAGCCTGTGGAATTCACTATCATCGGAGGTCATCAGGTCAAATACTTTTGCTGGAACTCAATGTTATGGGCATTAATACCATGTCTAGTTATGCATATGAAGATAAGAGTAATCCAATCTCATGCTTCAGGGCATAGGGATTTTTTTCCCTACTCCCCCCAGAGCATTGCACAATAGGCTGGGTATATTATGCCTCCCCTCTTTGCCCACAGCTTCCCCTGAAGGCACTGGCTGCAAATAGACAAAAAACAGACTTGGTCTGATTTGATACAGCAAATTTCATTTCCTTATGAAAGAGGAAATCTAGGGTGAGGGCTTTTCAGAGGTAGCATAGACCTGAGTTGGTCCTGCACCTCAGACCTTGAGGGTAAAAAGCATGTATAGGCACTGGTATTTCCATTCCAGATGGACAAAATAGGGTGTTTCTTATAATAATAGATTCAATCCAATTTTGCATCTCAAAACAACTGCAGATTTTGGATCTAAAAACCTATCTAGGGTCTTTGGTCCAAAACAACCAATATGATTCTCTTTATCCAGCAGATGAATGAAAGATGCTGGCTTTGAACAGAGTGAGGTCACAGTCACTTTCTTATCTCTCTGCAAGTCTGGACAGGAAACTAGGCTGGATTAAACTCATCTGGCTCCAGAGAATGAGTCAGATCATGACATTGCGCAACTTGAGGGGCAGGAGGTGGGAAGGAAAGTGCAGAGGAGGGAGGAATTCTGTTTTGCCATCCCACAGGAGCTCAGCTCAGCAGCATCCTGTGTTTTTACAGTGAGAGTCTTGATTTTGTTTTTTTTAACCTAATTTTTATGTGTTGCTTGATGTACAAGTTCAGTCTAGTTACTCATAGGGATGCCTATGCCATAGTGTGTGAGCTCCAGCCAATTAGTAAAACAAAAATAACATTAGCAATCTTCTCTTCCTTCCTTCTTTCCTTCCCAGGCTGAAGGAGAAATAGCTTGATCAGTTTGCCTGGGTGTGTGTGGTGAAGAGCTCATTGAGGGAAAGCCAAGTACAGAGATGAGGTTTGCACTTAGTTCTGAATATGGTGAGGCCCATGGGCATTCATATCAGTTTATGGAGTGAGCTCCCTAACCTAGGTCCAGCTCTTGTGAAAGGTCTGTCTCCTCTGCTCACGACCCTCTCCTGCCTCCCCGCCCCCCCATTGGTAACAGCTTTATTGTTTCAATTTAACGAAGCTGTTGTGGGAAGTCATGGTCATAGACAGAGAGTTGATCTATCATGTAGCTAGGGCCAATCTCATGGAGAGCTTTTAATATTAGGATAAAAAGCATAAACTGGCCTCTGTATTCAATGGAGAGATGGTGCAGGAACGAAACAATGGGGTAATGTGTTCCTGATGACCTGTGTTAGTAAACAAGAGGACTGCTGTGTTTGGTACCAACCACATGCTATTTGGGCATCCAACAGCAGGGAGTAGTCCAAACGAACCCCATGGCTGCAGAACAACTTAATGAACTGAAGGCAGTTCCTCAGAGCACTTTCCTCATCCTACCAGCATCACTTGGTCTTACCCTGGTTTCAGCTTTAGCCAGTTGGTCTTCACCCAGGTGCTGATTTCAGTTTGACTTCAAGGGAGATCGTGCTGTTTATGTTTCATGTAGAGAAGATGCGGAGCTGGGAGCTGTCTGGGTAGTTCGGTCATCCCACTAGCTGTCCCTCTTGTTTCCTTTTGATGTTGACTAACATGGGGAGTGGACCGAACATGGCAGGAGACTCTGCACCTGGAGGAACAGTTGTCCATAACCATCCATTAGGTTTGGTCAAAGAGGAAAAGTTGAGCCATCTCAGGATGTTTCATTTCACCTTCGCAGCCTCTTGGAGTTGGAACAGGTGTGTTTCGCGATCTATGCCCCAAAGAGGCACCCAGCAGGATGACTATGGATGTGCTTCTCTTGTCTATGGACAGGAGGAAGTCCTCCACCATCCACTAGCACAAAAAGTGGAGTCTATGAACTGTGCCCTGTTCTAAAGCCTCAGAATAACACAGAAAATTGCTATCTGATAAATGGCATTGGAGAAGGTGAGGCTCTGCCCCTCGATCCCTACCCCAGGAAGCAGGTGAGGCCATGCCCTCCTTCCTTCTGCGCTGGCCTGTGGAATGGGGCCAGTCACAGTGCACTGGGGTGGGGGGAGGGGAGCACATCATTCAGCTCTATTAGGCAAGGAACAGCCCTAGAAGAATAAGTGGGCCAGATCCTGGGTCCTTGCTCCAGCCCCAAGCTGGCTCTGTGAATAACTGCATCATCCCCTCATTCTCCAGCTTGGAAATTCTGGCTTCAAGATGCTGTGCCTGGGCTGTGAGGGCCATGAAGGTGCTTGCACCAGGAACATGTGTGACAGCTGCTATCTTGGCCAACACACCGGAGGCCTCCCAAGCTAAAAGCACGAGTCGCTCACTACATCTTGAGCTAACGAGCCAGTCTTTGTAACAGGGGCTGTAACTGTCTCACCTCCTCTGTGTACTGGGCAGGGGAGACATGGAACACACACTGAGCAGTGGGTCATGCCACTTGGCTAGCCAGCAAGTAGTCATAGGTTCTACAATAAACTGGGGCGCCCCCATATAAATTAATCTATTGCTGGTCCTCTAAGTCAATAGTTACCCTGCAGTTTTTATTCTGTAAATTGGACTAAGTTTGATCTTTCTTTGTAAATGGGAAGCTAAGGTTTTTAGTTGTTTGCTTAGTGCGTGTAATAGATTTTCTTTACTTTAATCCCACTAACAGCTCATTTAGAAGCTGCCACCCTGACAAGCTCCCACCCCGTTCCAACTTCTCTGAGCTCACTCTGTCAGTGTGGTACTTCTCACTTCATCTGAGGCATCTATTTGTTAATGGAGGAAAAAGAAAATCATTGTTGGAGGCCCCTCCAAGGCAGAGAGCTCACATCACCTGAGCTTTTCTCTCCTACTTTACTGTGCCACTAAAAAGGGACTCCAACCAACAGTGAGGGAGGTGTGAGGGGACGGGATGAGGGAGGGGGCAGCCTCTGACCTTATCCCACAGTGTATTGCAGGTGTTCCTGCTGACCAGCTCTGCCGAGAGTGGTTCTGACTCAGTGCATGATTATTGGAAGAGTTAGTGAGGAGGAGGTAAATTCAGTCATCAAGGAAAGAGACTAGACCTCCATTTAGGGAGCCTCTGCCCACACTGCTGGTTAATGGCTTGGACCCAGATAGCTTGCTCTAGACGCGGCCTCGACCCCATTAGCCACTGGCATCCGCTCTGGCTCCCCCCTCTCTCCTGGCTCAATTTCCTGAGGTTTCTGGTTTCCTGAGTGAGGGCAGAAGGTGTTTTTGGCAGAGAAGGTGGGAGCCTGGGGGTGGAGGGTGGATCCAGCGGGGGAGACAGAAGAGGAGGAGTCACTGATCACTGATAATAAATAAAAAGGCCCCCTCTTCTCCAGTTAATGCTACAGGACGCTGGGAGAACTCCCCCTTAGACAAGAGCTGCAGACTGAAGAGGAAGCAAGTCCAGAGTGAGTATGCAGAGACCTCCCTGTAGTTAGTTAGTTATTAATGTCTGTGCAGTGCTTTGCAGCAGGAAAATGTTAGAGAGATGCTATGGAATGTATTATTATCTCATCCACCATGACAAGGGCCCCAGGGCTGCCTTTGCAGCGCTACCCCTTACCAAGGGACTGCAGAAATTTCCACAAAGTTTGCAGGCAGTTAATATTAGCTCCTGTTCTGTGACTACTGCACACCAGAGGATGCTGTTAGATAGCAAGGGCTGGGAGTCGGATGTTGGGCTGGGTGTGTTCCACCATGGGGTGTGAGCATTTGTGGCTTCACCTGGTGAGGTAGGAGGGTGTAGCCCCCAGGGAGGGATGTGTGTGTGTAAGGAGCCAAGTGAATGCAGTTCCCACAGCAACAACGGAGGCACTCACCCTGGGACAGCGCAGAAGGGTGGTTAATTTGACTTCCAATAAGGTCTGTTTGTGGATAAAAGTGAAGTGTTTGGGCTAACGCCCGTTTATGACATGCCCTCACTTCTGTGGTGGCGGTGTGTGTGATGCCACAGGCATTCTGGGAGCGCTGAGTGACTCGGGAAGAAAGCAGAGGCTGGGGCAGTGACCCTGAGGACTCAGCACTGAAGGACAGGACAGGTACATGGGGTGGGGTTGGTTATGGCATTTATCACTGTGCGACCTCATCACCAGCACCTCTCTCTGCATGTCCTTCCAGCATCTCCCTCTCTGTGTACCAGTCACTGTCTCTCCAGGCTCACTCCTTATCCCTTTCACTTCAGCCTTCCCACAGGCTGCTGGATTGGCCATGATTTAAGCCCACACTCTGTAAAAACCCCTGAACCGCATGGAATGCAACAAATCCTTACCCAGGCCCAGAGGCTCCCTTAAAAAGGGGCGACCACTGCTCTCAAATCCAGGAGGTGCTGGGGTGCAGGGAGAGGAAAGGGAGCTGGGGAAAAGGGATCAGAGGGGAACGGGAGCAGGGCATATCAGACCCCATTTCTGCTCTTTACCACAGAGTAACTGGGGGCTCCTCATCATCCCAGGCTGAACACTGTATATGAGGAATCGGTGCATGGGTGTGAGCTGGAATGGGGCTGGTGGTAGAAAGGGGGAAGGCGCGATGTGTGGTCATCTTCTCCTGTGTTGGGCAAAAGGAGGAAGAAAAGCACCTTATTCTCACTGGGGGCCCCTGGTTACAGGCTCTACTGATTTCAGGTCTTTTTCTCCTGCTGAGGATCAGAGGATCTGGACAAGAGCTGTGAGTTTGGAGTTAACTGTTTCTTGGCATTGGTAGGGTGATTGGCAAAGCCCAGAGTAATCTGGTCCTTTCACAGGTCCAAGGCTCAGCCCAGTAGGGAATCATTTGGTTCCAGGCAAAATTCTGGTGCAGTATAGGGTCCCTGTTCCATGCAGGCACATGCAGAGTGTGAATCCTCCAGGAGAGGACTGGACACATGTAACCCCAATGGCAAGGAGTAACAGCGACAACTGAGCAACTGTCTCACTGGCCTCAGGGAATGAACTGAGCTGGATTTGTGCCCACTGCCCAGGCTGTGTGACAGCTCCAGACTCCTGGAAAACTGCATGCAATCCCACAGGCTGGCCTGGTGCAAGGGGAGCTACGTCAGAGCTCCTCAGTGAGCTCCATTTGGCTGCAGTGGCCTCTTACCACTGCCCAGCTCAGCTGCAGCCATTGCCCAGTGCACCCTGTCCTCACACACGCTGCTCTGGCCGTGGCTTCACATGTGGTTTAAGTGAAACCACTGATCCCATCTCTCTTCTCTTTGAGTTGGCAGCCATGAGGCTACAGACGGCAGCGCACATTCCCCCCCCAGGGCCAGCTAGCCTGGTGCTGGAAACTGGAAAAGAGTTTCCCACATAGCAAGTCAGAGTATGTTTGCTGAACCACTGGAGCAGACTGTGAAGTACTTCTGGCTCCTGCTAGCCTGCAGAGCAATAGATTTGGTTTGAACTTAGGTCCCTTGTATGGCAGGGAAGAGTGTTAGCACCAAATCATGTTCCAAGAGTCAGCAGCTCAGAGCGAAGGATCCATCCTTCACCCAAAGAAGAGGTGGCCCCATTCTACTTAGGGAGCAGTGTTTGTGTGGGACCCCAGAGAATAAATGTAGAGATAGGTTTCTAGGGGCTACTGCAATATACATGTGAACTAACAATAATCCCAGCAGAGGACGGGGATCCCATTAGGGTTTGAGTACCATGAAGGGCACAGTAGGGTGTGTATGGGGGAAAACAACAGGATTGAACTTCTATCTTTCCCCTGGTAGACGGAGTTCAGCCAGAGCAGTACTGGGGTACATTAGGGACCAGTCTGAGGGGAAACCAAGGATGGAACATTTGAGATCAAATTTCCCCATCTCTCCAGGAAGCAGGGGGCTGGTCCCATTCCTTCCAGCCGTGGAGCTGACAGACAGTGCGGGCTCTGTGTGTCTGGACCAAGGGTGGTGACGGCAAGGAGGGGAGATCAGAGGAGGAATTAGGGAAGCAAGTGTGTGGTCCTCCTCGGTGTCTGGAATTACACTCATATAGTTCAACATTTCTGGACATGCAGTGTTAACAGCTCACCTCCTTTTGAACTCTGGCACCCTCCCCCTGCAGCAAGGGCAGGGAAGGGAGTGTGCCTACCCCACCACCAAAGCCTGATTAGACCTGTTTATAGAGGGTGTTTTGTAACAGTCCCATAGAAGGTGAGTGCCAGCCAGGCCCTATCTTCCCCAGGCTGCTTCATCTGATTCCTCCCCTCCCAGCTGCTGCTTTCATAATAAACACTCCACTGCTAACTTTGCAGCCTGTCCAGAATTTCCCGTTGCCCTCAGTGGAAAGAGAGTAAGACAGAGAGCGAGAGAGTGCAAGAGAGAGTGACTCCCACACAATGCGGACCCTCATCCTCCTCACGCTCCTGGCTGTTTTGATGGTGGCAGCTTTCTGCTATGGTAGGTGACCTCTTTTATTGGACCTTGTTTGGAGTGACAGCCAGTCACAGACACCTCTTGGTCTGTTCAGATGTTTTGCTTTGATGTTTATCTCCCCTTATCTGTTGCTGTCCTCTTGCCCATCCACTCCCTTTACTACTGTGTCAGACCACTCTGCCTCTACTCCAGAGCTCAATCACCTAGATACTTTTGCCTCCAGTCTAGAGCCGCCTGCATTTCAGACCCTTCCTCTTTACCACAGACCATTCTGTCACCACTGCAAACTATCCCCACATCCTCGACAATCCCAATCTGTGTGGATCATAGAAAGAGGAGATGGAAGAAACCTAAATTAGTCCTTCCTTTGTCAACACAACTTGTGGATGCACTGGAGGGGAGATCCCAGGTGCTGTTTACATATCAAAGTGATGCAGGGTCTGGTAAGGGAAATTCCTTATATAGATCCCAGGCCCTATTTCCTATAAGAAGGTGACTCTCTGAACTGTCCCTGGTTTGCCATTCTGTTGCATCCTCAGCTGCTTGCCTTTCCTTTGTTAATGGCGAGCGAGATTTTTCCACCCACCTTCCCTTTCTCCTTTTGAATGTCTCTCCCATTTTCTCTAGAATGCATACACTTGCATATTAATGGACCGATCTGACCTTGCACTGAAATATGCATATTTAGTGGTGATTTGTATTTCTATAGCATTTTCCATCTAAAGATCTCAAAGGGCTTTACAAATATGAATTCATTAATTAAGCAGCCTGCCCCCACTGTGAAGTAAATAGGTGTCATACCTGTTATATAGAGGGATACATAAAGGAACAGAGGGTCAGTGATGCTCCCAAGGATAACATAGTAAATCAGTGGCACAGCCATGGATAGAACCCAGTGGTTCAGTCCTCTGTTCTGACCACTAGGTTGCCTTATTCCTTTCCTTGCTTTTCCTTTTAATCAGTGAATGAGATTTCTCAGTCTCTCTTCCCTTCGGTTTATTAATGGTGAGTGAAAAATTCTGTGTTCCATAACTACAGTGCCTCACTGAATGTTTTTCTCTTCTTTCTCCAGAGTCCCACGAGAGTATGGAATCCCATGAGTTTGTCAGTAAGAGACAATTTTACTACTTTGTTTAAATTAGAGGGGAACTAAGGGACTCCCGTACTCCACTGTCTTCACCACTCTGCTAGGAGTTCAGCTGAGCCTGGCAGGCATGAGAGTGGGGGACTGGTGGAAATTAGAAAGGGGAAAATAAACCACTCCAGACAAATTGGATTTCTTTGGTGACCGAATTTCCGGATGAGTGGAAGGGGGAACAAAAAAGATAAAATACATGTTGAATCCAGGAAAGCATATGACATAATGTCTTACAAAATCTTACCTGAAAACTAACTGGAATTAGCTTTGACCACTGACATATTCCCTGAAAAGGGTCTTAAAAAATGCTATTGCTAAATAGCAATGTACTGAGTTTGGGAAGAGCTGCCTAAGAGGTGCAGCAGA